TGAACAAAAGACTCATTTTCTTTAAAGAACTCAGTATTTAAAAACTTAATGAAGCAAGGTGGTGGTGGCCATGTTTTAATCCCAGCATTCGGGAGGCAGAGGCAGGCAGATAGATCACTGTGAGTTAGAGTTTGAGTCTACAGAGTGAGCCTGGTCTACAGAGTGAGCTCCAGAACAGGCTCCAAAGCTACAAAGAGAAACCCTGTCTCAAAAAAACAAAAACCAGACTAAACAAAGACAAAAATTTAATTGATTATTTAATGTGTGTGTGTGCGCGTGCTCGTGTGTGCTCACGCGCGCTCATGAGCATATGCCCCAGCAAATGTGTGAAGGAAAGAGGACAACACTGGGAATCACTTCTCTTCTTCGCATGTATCCAGTTCTAGGGTTTGAACTCAGGTTGTCAGGCTTGGCAGCAAGCCCCTTTAGTTGTTGAGCCATCCTATAGGCTCTCAGCACCTTTTTTTGGTGTGTTTGTTTCTCATTTCTGTGTTGTTTTAAATTGTTTTTGTTTATTTCATGTATATAAGTGTTTGCCTACATATATGCTATGTGCACCACATACATGTGGAGGTCAGGAGAGGGTGCAGGATACCCTAGAACCAGAGTTATGAATTATCACATTAAGTGCTGGGAATCAAATCCAGGTCCTCCAAAAGGGCAACAAGTGCTCTTACCACCGAGCCACCCACCTCCCTAGCCCCTATTTCTGTGTTTTCTGAGATAAGGTCTAATGTAGCTCAGGTAGGTCTTAAGTTACCTGAGAAGAAGAGGTTGGCCTTGAAATCCTTGAAATCCTCATCTTCCCGTCTCGGTCTCCCAAAGGCTGGATTTGTAGGTATATGCCGTCACATCCACAGTCAGTTTTTTCTCCTATTTTTTTTTTTTTTCTTCAAACTATTACCATTATCAGTTTCTAGACTATTCCCCAGGCTAGTCTGCTTTGATCCTCTTGGCTCAGCTTCCTTCTGTGCAGTGCTGTGATTGGAGGAGTTTGCTGCCCTTTCCTGCTGTTTCTTCATTACCTTAGCTCAGGTGAGTAGCAACCCAGGGATTATTTTGTTGTTGTTGTTTTGTTATTTGGAACTTGAAGATTAGCAAAGAGAGCCCTCTGCTGGCTAAAGTGGCACAGTACTAGAGTTGGTCAGTTGCCAGGGCAAAGGCCACCATTAGTGTTACCTACCTTTGGGTTTTTCATTTAGCAAATTGATGCTATTCTGTTTATTTCTTTGGCTTCAACTCAGGTTTGTTTGGAGCTCGTGAAAGTGATCTGTAACCCCCAACCCAGTCTCCCCGGCCATTCATGCGTAGCTGAGGATGGCCCTGAACTTCCCATCTTCCTGCCTCTCTCCGCCTCCAAGTGTTAGGGTTTGAGGTGAGCACCCCCACTCCAGTCTTAGGCAGTGCTAGATGAACACGTTACTAATGCAGCTATATCCTCAGTCTCCCATTGTTTATTCCTTTAATATTTCAGGGGAAAAGGGTTCTTGTTGGATATGGGAGCTCATACTTGTACTGCCATCCACTTGGGTATGGAGGATTGCTATGGATTTGAGGCCAGCCTGGGCAGCATAGTGAATTATAAGCCAGCCTGGGCTACAGAGTAAACTCTCACATCAAAAAACAAAAACAAACAAACAGACAAACAAAAACTAAGACCAAAGAAGAGCTGACCGTGGTGGAGCACATGTTTAATCCTAGTACTGGGAGGTGGAGGCTGGAGTTTATCCTCAGCTACATAGTGAGCTCAAGATCTTCCTCAAAAGAGAGAGAGAGAAAAGTTGAAAGCCTCATCTTTCATAATTCTTGAAAATAATAGCTCTCAGCTCTGCCCTGAACTAACCCCTACATCTTATCAGCTCTGTTTCCCTTTTCTGCTCTCCTCCACTGCCCTGTGTTGGTGGTCCCATGTCCCCATGTCCCTGTCCTCCACCCTTCCACTCCCCACCCCCACACTGTCCTCCCCCCCCACTGCCCTGTGTCCCGGTCCTCACCCCCACACCTCTGCCACCGGGCTCTCCCTTTCTAAACAGGACGAAATAAAAGCAATCTTCATTCAAAGGAGTGGTGCTGATGGAAAGTGAGCCGAAGGTTAGTGGCTGCTTATCTCCGGGATCCCAAACTGAATGCCAGGGCTGGGGCTGCACTGGTACCATACACCTGAAAAGAGTTGGACCTCTGATGTCCCTGGCTGCTTCTTTGACCGTGGGAAAGAGGGTGTACAATGGAGGCGTGTCGGGTTGGTTATCTAGAGGAGAAAAGGGGCTCTCCTGGGACCTTCAGTGGAGCGTTGATAACAATGAGTTTCTCTTGTGTACTTGGACTGAGAACTTGCCCTAATTACATCCCCCCCACCCCCCCACCCCCGAAACAAAAATCTTATATAGACCAGGCTGGCCTAGAACTCTTGATCCTCCTGCTTCTAAAGAAAACAGGCGTGTGCTATCCCTCACTCCCAGGTGTGTCTCTCTGAATAATCTTTATTGTAATTATTAAAACTTGAGCCAGGGTCTCACTATATAGCCCTGACTGTCCTGAAACTTGCCATGTAGACCAGGCTGGCCTTGAACTTACAGAGACCCACCTGCCTCTGCATCTTTAGAGCTTGGATTAAAGGCGTGCACCACCATGCCTGGCTTTATGTTGAAAAGCATCTTTTTTTTTTTTTTCTAGAAAACAAATTAATACATGTGAAGAGCTAGCTAAAAGTTCCGCATGAACAATAGTTATGCTGTAGTCAGCATTTTATTACATTGTTTCTGTAGAATATGACACACTCCCTACCCAGGAGCAGAGGACCTATGTGTATGAGCACACGCGCACCTGTGTGTGTGTGTGTGTGTGTGTGTGTGTGTACTTTTGCAGAGGCCAGAGGTGGCTATCAGGAGTCTTCCTTTATTGCTCTATACCAGTGGTTTTTAACCTGTGGGCCGTGACCCACTGGTTGGCTACCCTCCACTTCCAAAAATATTTACATTATGATTCATGACAGTAGCAACACTACAGTTATGAAGTAACAACAAAAATAATTTTGCAATTGGAGGGTCACCACAACGCGAGGGACTGTATTAAAGGGGTCATAGCCTTAGGAAGGTTGAAAATTATTGCTCTATACTTTATTTTAAACCAAGGACTCCCTTTGAACCTGGAATGCTCCAACTGTGTAGAAGGGCGGGCCAGTGGGCTGTGGGATCCCCCCCGTGTCTGCCTGTCCACACTGAGGTCACAGGTGTGCATCACCTTTTATCTTTAGGAGGCGCAGAGCATCAGGCCCAGGACTTCATATACACTGGCCAATCGCTGTGCCAGCTGAGCCCTGGAGTAGCACTCTGTGAGAAGTAGCACTGAGCCATCATGCCTCTGCTCTGTGCAGATGGCTTCCACTTGTACTTTCAGAGGTTGTCCAGCATCCTTCTAGAAAGTCGCTGTGGCTGCATGTCCCACACAAGCACCTGGGTCCGTGAGTCAGCAGCCTGGCAGCTTCTGCACTAGCCTGTGCAATTTTTCCTCCATCCTCTAAATTACCTCGATGATGGGCATGGCCTATACACCGCTGATTTCAACACTTGGGAGGTGAGGGTCAAGGTCAGTCAGGGTTATATGAGATCTTTTTCGAAAATGATGAAGGGCTGGGAAATGGCTCAATGAGTAAAATAGCTGTCCCATAAGCATCAGCAATGGAATGTGGATTCCCAACACTCAAGTAAAGAGCTAGGCTCCGTGGCATGTGCCTGAAGTTCCCTTCTTGGGGAGGTAGAAATAGGCAATCCCTGAAGCTCACTGGCCTACCAGCCTGACAGAACTGATTCAGAGAGACATTCTCAAAAACTAACATGGAGGACTGGCGAGATGACTCAGTAGGTAAAGTGGCTTGCTGAGGAAGCTTGGTGGCCTGAGTTCAATCCTGGTAACCCACATAAAGGTGGAAGGAGAGAATGCTATGAAGATTGCCTTTGGGCTTAACGGGAGTGTCGTGGAGCTCACACAGGTGCATTACTATTACATAGTAATAAATACAGTTTAGAAATACAAAAGTAAGGTGGGCATTGACTGAGGAAGACATTGGCGCGCGCGCACACACGCACACACGCACACACACACACACACACACACACACACACACACACACACACTGCAAAGTTTTGTGGGTTTACTTTAACTTTGAATGTATCAAAAGTTGCCTCTTACTGTACCCATCCTTACTTTCTTGGTGTAATACTGTACATTTTACTGCAGGTGCAGTCTCTTAATGCAACAGGTGAAATACTTAATTCTAGGGATTTCAGATAATATCGTGAGCCACATTTTACTTTATTATTAACACCCTCCACCTCCCGTGCTAGGGACCACACTTTGAGCCTTGCATATACTAGATAAACACTTAGTACTGATCACCTATATACCCAGTCCCTAATTACATAGTTTTATAACAAAGTGCCCTTGTAAGAGTTTCAAACTATAGTTTCCAACATTGGTATACTGTTTGTATACTGCATATTATACATTTTACTATACAGTATATTGTATACTGTTTGTTTGTTTGTTTATGAGCAGGGTCTCACATGGCCCAGGCTGTAGTCAAGGATGACCTTAAACTACTGATCCTCCTGCTTCCAGCTAAAGTGTTAGAATAACACGACAGGGTCTTGCTATGTAGCTTATGGTGGCCTGGAACTCTCTGTGCAAACTGCTTGAAATCATACTTGTCTCTATCCACTTGCAGGGGTCTGGGGTTGCTGGTCTACACTGTTGATATTTGCTGAAGTTTTGTGAGTGATAAATTGTCTCCTCTGTTGTTGCCACAAAATTATGTTTTGGGGCAGACAGGTGGCTCAGCAAGTAAAGTTTGGTCTGGCTTCCATTCTTCAGACCTGCGTCATAATAGGGGGAGCTGGCTCCTATAGGTTTTCTTCTGACCTCCACACACATGCATGCACCCACATGCATATGCAAATAATAAATTAAAAACTTTTTTTTTTTTTGCATTTATGGTTTCTTAGGGGCTGCTCACAATGTATGCTGGACCGTGGTGAGCCCTGAGGTGATCACAAAAGAAGCTTGCCTTGAGCCCATCTGTCCCCCGCTGCTGTCCACAAGATGGAGAAGGCGGAAGCAACCTGAGGAGGCGTCTTTGTCTGTAAGGATAGAAGGTCCATTGTGGAGGGGAGAGATACAGGAGCTATATAGTCGAGGCCCTACCAGCCCTGCGTCTCTTATCTCCAGAATTCTTTTACAGAAAAGAAAAATAAACTTTTATCGGGTTTATGCCACTACTGTTTCTGGGCTCTGTTACTAACTGCCAAATGCAAATCTTAACTGATAGGGAAGTCCTTGACAAACTTGAGCTTGGGATGGGATTCTGCTGGTTTGGTCACTCTGCAGGGGTGGATTTGGGGGAGTGGAGCATCCTGGAGGGCACCCGGAGGTAAAGATGGTTTGGCAGGTGGGGCAGACAGTGCACCTCCCAAGGGTCACTGATTTTCTTTTCCCCCAGGGACCCTCCCATGAAGTACTATTATATAGTGGCTATTTACATGTCTATTGATGGAGTAATTTGAAGTCTGCTATTGTCAACTGGCCTCAAAGCTGGGCCATTGAGTAGATGGGTGCTCTTTGTGCCCAAAGAAGCAGCAGGTGAAGGATGGAGCAGGGAAGGGGTATCGGCATTACAGGAAAGTCAAGCCAACTCCCTGGAGGCAGCCCCAGCGAAAGGAAGTTTTGTTACATGCGATTGTCTAAGAAGATACATTCCAAGTCTAATGAAGATTGCTTTTAACTTGGTAGCAACTAAATAATGTCCAAAACCATACCCTGCTGTAACTTACAAAGTGAATTCATGCACTACGGGTTTCATTAAGGGGGCCATGGATTTTACTAGCTTTAAAGTGCATGTAATTGCACTGAGAATGGCTGTCTCTTCATAATGAACTCGTCACCGTGAGGTGAGAAAGGATGCTTTACGTTAGACATTTACTGTTTACATACATACTATAAAAATATGACCACGCCCCCCCAAATATGACCATGCTCTGGTTCTAGCTCATTCTCTGAACCTAGCAGTTGGGAGGCTGAGAAAGGAAGATGCTGTGACTTTAAGGTCAGCATGGGTGACATAATGAGTTTGAGGGCAGCCTGGGCTACACAGTGTTAGACCTTCCTCTCAAAAGATACAAAAAAAAAAGAAAGAAAGAAAGAAAGAAAAGAAAAAAGAAAAGAAGGAAGGAAGGAAGGAAGAAAGAAAGAAAGAAAGAAAGAAAGAAAGAAAGAAAAGAAGCAGCTCAGCTCTACAGCACACATAGTAAAGCACACAGAAGTTGGCTTGGCCCTGTGTAATTTTGCCATCTCTTTCTGTTGTGTCCTAACCAATAAGAAACCTAAATCCAGGGCCAGCGACATGGCCCATCAGGCTAAAATGGTTCCACTCAAGCTTGACAACCTGAGTTTGATGCCTGGAACTGACTCCTGAGGATTTCCTCACCGGTGCCTACACACATGTCTCTCTCATGCATGCTCACACGCATGCATACACACCATCAAAAGCTATTAATATCACTGCTGCTGCTAATTTAAGTTAAAACAATAAATCTCAATTCCATGCCACACATCGCTTGTGAACTAAATGTGGTAGCTTACTATTCCATCTCTTTGTTTTCTTAAAACATGAGTTGGGGGCTGGAGAGATGAGCCAGAAGTTAAGAGCACAGGCTGCTGTTCCAGAAGACCCAGGTTTGATTCCCAGCACCCAGGAGGCAGCTCCCAGCCACCACCAGTCCCGTCTGGTCCTCTTCTGGCCTCCCTGGGCACCAGGCACAAACATGATGCACGGATACCCATATGAATAAATTAAATAAATGCTTCTTTTAAAAATGTGAATTTGGGACTCTAAATTTCCTTCCAAACTTGGCGTGGACAAGTAATTTGAAGCCTTAGTACACCTTCCCGTTTCATGTCTGTTGAAGCACTGCCTTCAGCCTTTCTCTTCACTTAGGGGAAGACAGATGCTACCTGAAATATCTCTTTAATCAATCTTGTCTCCTCATCCTTTGCCTGGATTTCATCAAAATGACATGCAAGAATTCAAATACTACTGAATATTCAGTTTCAGACTTCTATACTGCTACCAAAGGATTTTATAGCAACATGAGTTAACCTTCAATTTATTCAAGGTAAATTTCTTTTTCTTCCTTCCTTCCTTCCTTCCTTCCTTCCTTCCTTCCTTCCTTCCTTCCTTTCTTTCTTTCTTTATCTATCCGTTCCTTCCTTCCTTTCTTCCTTCCTTCCTCCTCCTCCTTCTCCTTTCTCCTCCTTCTCTCTCTCTTTTTAAGTTCAGTCTTGCTATGAAGTGCTGGTTAGCCTGCTAGTTAGCCCACAACTCCTGGTGATCCTCCTGCATCAAGTATACTGGCAAGGCATGTGTCACCATGCTGGGTTTCAGGTATTAGGGTTTGAGTAATTCTTCCCTGGAGTTCCTGGGAGGCATTTTGCTAAGATGTGCACACAGGGGAAGGTAAACTGAAGCACGCAATCCCCCACCCACACAATTCTCTGTCTCCAGCTGAATGATAACACAAGCTGCCATTTCCGAGGTGCTATATTCAGGCAGCTAAGCTGCCATCCCTATTTTAACCCCGATGAAGATTCTGGGAAGCAGCCATATTGACGAGGAAACCGTTTCAGAGCTGTGGCTCAGGGTCACAGTGAGAGCTGAACAAGGGCAGTTGAAGGTCTCGCTGACTCCTGTGTGTGACTCCCGAGTGGCTCAGAGGCAGACCTGCCACTCATAAATAATCTGGAGGAGAACAAGGCCAGCTGTCTCCGGGCGACACTTGATCCCACATTTATCCTTTCCCTCTGCCAAACTGAAAGGCCTTATGGTGATTAAATATTTCTGGCCAGCAATGCCCTGCCGTTTTATTGAAAAATGATACACTGATATCTTTTATAATCGCTTTTTGTTGTTGAGACGGGTCTCACACAGCCCAGGCCAGTCTGCAATTTATTGGGTATCTGAGGATGACCTTTAATTTCTGACCCCCCGCCTCCTCCTTCTAAGTACCAAAGCTAAAGATGTGCCCAGTTTATCAGACCAAGGGCTTTGTGCATGCCGGGTGACACTCTACTAACTGAACCACATCTCCAGCCCTATAATTGTTTCCATAGAAACAAACATTCTGTACCAGCGCTAACTGTCTAGAGGGGGTGGGCTATGCCGCACAAGTCCAAGTCACGGTAGTTTCTTGAGCACGAAGTGTGGAGGGTCCACTCCTCACACTGCCTCTTACTAGATGGACAGGGCTCTGCCCCATGGAGGTCTCTGAATGTTACACTGCTATAATTCAAACAAATGACAAACCACACACACACAAAGTGCCCCAACAAAAACAAAAGTTGATGAAATAAACAGAGGACTGAGGAGTTGGTAAAGGTGGTTGCCGCTAGAGCTAACAATTGAGTTCAGTCCTTGGAACCCTGTGATACAGGGAGATAACTATGCATAATAATAATAATAATAATTGTAACTAAAACAACAAACTCACAACCCTGCCGCATTCAAATGACTACGGGGTACATTTTTATCTCTCTGTGTCCCAGTCTCTCCTGAGGCTGATAAAATGACATCCCTTTACAAGGTGGCTGTGAGGAGAAAAATGGTAGTGGTTGCTTTGCTTAGAGAGGGAGGAGCAAGCTTCTGTGACCCCAGCTTGGGAACTCCCTTCTCAAAGGATGAAGGACATTTTTTGGTAAGAAAAGCATGCTGGGCTGTCAGAAGTTTTGTTCTGAATGTTTTGGGTTTTTTTTTTTTTTTTTTTTTTTTAAAGTTTTTAGAGCAGAGTTGGGAGTTTGTTATGCAATTTTAATGTGGATTTGGAGCCCTAGGGTTAAGAGAAAGGAAGGTGTGCAGGAAGAAAGTGAAACACCACCAAGAACCAGGGTGTGGATTTCTCAAACAAGTCTTGCCCCTTTCAAGTTTTGAGTCAACATGGGTGTTGGTGTTTCTCAAACATTGCCTTTTTCTCAGGCAGAGAGGCCCAGATCAAAGTCACGTATCTGCTAAGGCCCGTGGGCAAGCTGTGGTGCATTTCGTGATTAATGATCGATGTGGAAGGGCCCAGCACACTGTGGATGGGGCCACCCCTGGGCTGGTGGTCCCTGGTTCCATAAGAGGCAGGTTGAGCAAGCCATGGGGAACAAGCCAGTGAGCAGAGTCCCTCCATGGTCTCTGCTTCAGCTCCTGACTCCTGGTCCCTGCCTGACTTCCTTTGATGATGGATTGTGATGTGAGACTATACGCTAAAATAAAGCCTCTCCTCTCTAAGTTGATTTTGGCCATGGGGTTTTATCACTTGGGCTGGAAGAATAATCCAGTTTCTTGGTTTGACTTCCAAGACAAGAGAAAAGATGTACACAGACAAACATCCCTGTCTAGGAAGCTAACAGAAAAGTTTTTGGTGTGTGTGTGTGGGGGGGGGGTTGAGGCAGGGTTTCTCTGTATTGCTTTGGAGCCTGTCCTGGAACTCGCTCTGTAGACCAGGCCGGCCTAGAACTCACAGAGATCTGCCTGCCTCTGCCTCCCACCTGAGTGCTGGGTTTAAAGGTGTGCACCACCAATGCCCAGCATGTGTGTGTATTTTAATAGACTAAATTCACTTTACTTTCCCTGTGTAAAATCCCTTGTGTGGTGGCCACAGCAGGAGCCTGGGTCCTCTGAACGGAGACTCTGGTGTGGGTTTTCACAAGGTGGCCAGTCATTTCCTGATAAAGAGACTTGGTGAACACAGTCTCTTTCCAGAGATGGGGGATCTGGAAGCTCTAGGTCTTAGAGATGGCATCAAAGGTGGCCTTGGTGAAGTTGCCCAGGGTGGCAGTGCAGCCCCTGGCTGATGTGTAGCAGTCATTAATACCGGCCACCATCAGTAGCTTCCTGGGCACAGGGGCAGAGAATATGCTCTGGGGGCAGGGATGAGACTCACCAACAGAGTCATAGCGGTCTGTCACAGTGTGAGGTTTTGCCATCTTATTCTCCCAGTAGCCTCTCTGCACAGGGACAATGGAAAGCTTGGCTAAGATGATGGCCCCTCTGATGGTAGCAGCTACCTCCTTGGAGCACTTAACACCAAGACCAACATGGCTGTTGTAGTCCCCAGTGGAGACAAAAGCTTTGAACCTGGTCCACTAGCCAGCAGTGTCTGCTTCTGCAATGGCATGGTCTTTAAACCCCATCTTTTAGGAATGCACCCAGGGAAAAAAATATCAATAATCTTGGATTCCT